GTCTTTACTGTATGGCCAAAGTCCATGAGGAAAATTTTACACTACCTTTAGCATCATTTAGTTTAAGCAGATCACTGCGTTTCTATTCTCAACCAGTGCCATCAGAGATTAATACAAGACTATAAAAATCAACTGAGTAATAAAAGTAATGAAACATTACCTTGTCTATTCTTTTCATTCTCCTCCTCTTCATTCTCTTCCTCTTCCTCCACTTCCTCCTTTGATGCAGGCTTGGTCTCTTCCTCAGACATCATGTCAGTTTTCTGAATATCCTCATCTGCTGTGAAGTCGGGCACATTGTGACCCGAGTCTGAAGGAGTCTGACTTTCGTAGGGGTTACCTTCTGCCTCCTCTTCTTCATAGTAACCACCTGAATCTCGGCCCTCATCTTCATCTTGAGGGGCATCACCTTCAGCTTCATCACCACCACCATAGTCCTCAGCTGCTTCTGAATCTGGAAATGTAAAATTTTTAAACTTAGTTTAGGTGTTCTAAAGTTTGTAAAGTGAAAAGTTTGTTGACATTTCCCAACTTTGAAACTTTCATTTATACTTAAGTACAGTGAAGTGCTTAAAATGTAATATCAGCAAAGGGATCAAAGTCCAAAACAACGTAATAAAACTAGTTTCATGGAAGTGAAATGTTTAATGAAATAATACTTTACCTTGCTGCTCTTGTGCATCCGTTTCATCTTCATTGTCTTGGTAGTCATCACCGTATTCCTCTTCCTGCTGCTGATCCCCTTTATCCTCTTGCTCACCAGCATCAGCCTGAGCTTCAGCCTCCAGAGCGGCTTTCAGCCTCTCTACGAGGTCTGCCTTCAGGCCTCTGGTGTCCAGGCCACGGCGCTGGAGCTCTTCTTTTAACTCATTGACTTTCAGTTTCTTCACGTCAACACTCATTGTGATTTTGGATGTCTGCTTGGTGCTTCTTGTCTTTATTTGCTACAAAAATTGGGAGGAAATGTTCAGGTACTGCTAAAAACACTGCCTATAACTTTCAAATGTTATCTGCTGCGCGGCACCGTGCCCACAGCCAAATAGGCTGCGTTAGCCGTTTAGCTAAGCTAGCAACGCTGGACAGATTCTGTAAGAATATACAGTGTTCCACTACACGTCTGTGAATCATTAAACTCGTGTTTTATTGCAGCCGTTACCAATATAACCCTTTGCAAGACAAAACTATTCCTAAAATAGATGCTAATGCTATTACTCATCTAAATATCTCGCTGAGCGCCTAACCTTCTTAGCCTAGCATTAGCTAACGCACCGACAGCCGCTGCAAGGGAAGAAACTTTAACTCAGACAATAAGCAAGCTGCGACCCATACTTTATGTCTGCATGCAAGTCCAGGAGAAAATGAACTTTGCAGTCCGCTTAAAGTTTAGTACTAAAGCGGAATATATTAACAAAACAAGGTTGAGGCCTACCTCCTTTCACCCAAGTTGCGCGGGCAAGTCGTGTTAGAAGACTGAAAGAGTTGCTACCGCCCCCTGGCGCCACAAAGTGGCCCAAACTCAGAACCGGAAGTTAACCAGAGCCGCTTGGTTGAATGTATTATTCTACTGAAAAAACACTGGGGTGCACTTCTTTGAGCTACCAAATAGCGCGAGTTTACCATTAACTAATTTGTACCATATAATCTTAGATGAAAAAAACAAAGTTCTGTATGATACGCGTTAAGCACTTGGAGCGTTCCAAAGCAGGAAGTGTTTAAGTTGACGTCATCTTGGGTACTGTAGTTTTACAGTAATGTGAAGACACGCGGGACATTATCCACTCTGGAGGTGCTTTCAGTTTTGTTCTCTTGTTTCGTATTAAACATAACAAAAACGCTATCAACAGCCAACATATCATTTTATTTCAATTTTTTTCCAATTGTCACCATATATCCAATTAAAAACCAGCAATTACAACATGGAATTTTATGGACAGTACAGGGGCAGATTCTCTCAAAAACTATCCAGTGATATGAGCTGGTTCTGTTTTTTGTTTTTTTTTTATATTTTTTTCCATTAATAGTAACTCATAATTAGTATTAAAAAAATCATATAATTCAGTATTTCCAAAGTGATTAAGGTCTACGAGGATCACTGAATTACAAAGAAAGGAATATGCTGAAGCTGTTAAAAATATATATGTATATATCAACTTTAAGGTCACCACTTTATTGTACTGTAAGTTTTTATATACACTCAGTCAACTTTACAATGAACATACAAGGTCAGCCAGTGAAATTCACTATGAATATCATAGCAATTCCTTTTTTTACAACTAGTTGCTCAGAACACGAGCAAACAATAGCACCCAAATCCGGATTGCAGTGATATACTTATATCAACCTCTTCCACCCAGCTCAAAGCTATGAGGCTGTACATGTACACCTGCACTCACTCCTTCATCCCACAACCCGACATTGTGCCTTGCTGTATAGCAAACAACTAAATTTGTTACTTTTTGGTGGGAACAGGAAATGACAGCATTTGCCTGTTGACCTCTCTCAGCTGCGCACTTAGAGTCTCTGTCGTTAGGGATAATTCTGCTAGTTGCGTCTGTAGGCTTATGAGGGTCTCGTTCAGCTCTTCCTCTTTACGGCGAGAGTTAGCCGCCTGCCTGCTGTACTCTAACACCATGCATCCACCACCAATGAGGAAGATGATTGATTCCCCCAGTAACTCGGCGCCCAGCTCTGCTGCCGCTTCCTCGTTCAGCGGCTTAATGGTGGCTCCCCTGAAGCCCATGATCCGCATCTTTGTTCTCATCTCAATCCAGTGATAAACTGTTGGAACAAGGAGCATACAGTATATAAGGAAAGAGCTGTTAGACTTTGAATATGTTTGGGTCCTGTTCAATTTTTCATCAAATCTGGTCAAAGGTGAAACTGCATTTATAGTTAAAGATGCATGTCATCATTGCACTATCATTTATTATAATCTTCTACCCAGCTGAGAAAGTAGCCTTAATACCATACTGAAATTGGGTTGAAATTGTTTTGTTTTTTAGAATAAAACATGAAAACAGGACAACACTGCCCAAAACCACAGAATCAGTGGTGCTCTTGGTACATTACACAGAAATTAGGCAACCAGGTTCATTAAAACTGAAACATTCTTCCGTATATCTGTGGTCACCACATGACTTAGGATCCACATTTACTAGTTAATAATTCAAGAGACTCTCCAAGATTCAGCAGTCCATCAAGGAGACAAATTATCTCGATGTCAGTTATAAGTGGGAAAAGAATAAAGCCCCCTGCAAAGTGAGAAGTCTCTTAAACAGAATGCAAGAAGGCTGCCACGTAAAGATGAATCCCTTCACAGTCACTGGTGTCCTGTATAGCAACTGAGAAGCCAAATCCCTCAGAGCCTTAGCTTACATAATATTTCTTGTCCATAACAAATTTTGTGTGTTGTCATTTTGCCCCTGCTCATACTCCTCAAAAGCTGGTGTGTCCTCCATTTCACCTTCTTGCTTCTGACCCTCCTCCACCCCTTGACAACTCTAAGTATGACTACACCTTCACAGTTCGGAGTAAAATCCTTTCTGCTTCACTCAGCCATCATATATGAAGATAAGACCACCTTTAAATCTAATCAAACTTTAATTGCATTTTATCTACTCAGTCAACAAATAATACCGTGCCCTTTTTTCTGCAGCGCCTTTTCATAAAAGCTCGATTTGATGCATTAATTTACTTAAATTTGCTATCTTTAAAGAAAAACTGTGACTTCTTTTTAATTTGCACACAGTAACAAACACAACATGATATACACAGTAATCTTTACTTGGGAAGTATTTTGAATGACTAAACAATAGAGCTAAGTGTCCACTTAGCATATTTCTGTCTAATTAAAGTCAGTGTCACATTCTGAATAGGGCGTTAGGACAACAATTGTCCTGCCGTGCCCTCATAATAGCAAAGGCTAATACAATCTGTTTCAATGACAGACAAGACCCGCCCTTTACACCTTGCCTGGCTGCTATTGGTCGAAGAAATATATCTTGAAAGATGATTGGATAACAGTCATTTCAGGTTCATTATCATTGGTTGTTGCGCCTCCCCATGCTTATCAACCGTCAGAGGTGACTGGACTGAACTCTAAGCCTTTAGCAGCCGTTAGCTCAAATTACTCACTCTGTGCCGGCGGCAGGCAAATGTAAGTTTTAAAGAACTCGCTCCTCCGGGCTCCAGCTTTTATCCGGTTAGCCACAGGCTTGCTCAACTGCCTCACTCCGAGGTAGAGGAGCTTGGCGATAGGGAAGGCACCAACAACCATCTTGGCGGAAACGCTTCTCAATGGGGCGGAGTGCGTAGAGGTTACGTGATGACGTTAATGATTGACAAGCCCAGTCACAAATCCGACCACGTGTCCAAGTCTCGTGAACTGAAACGCCCTGATTTCCTTACTTATTTGGTCCCATCTTTCCCAATTTAAATAACATTATTGATGTTTGACATTAATTTTCTCTTAAAAAATGAACTGAATATGTAATTAATTAAGTTCATAAAATGAAAAAAATTTTTTTTGCGTGGCATCATATTGCATTGGTGCATGTTAGATTATTTCAATACACAAGCATTATAAACTATAAACAAAAGTAAGGTACTATTTTATGGTTCTATTTTTTCTTAAAATGAGAGAGACTTGTGTATCGGAAGTATATGATGGGCCTATAGGCCCAACAAATTAATACAGTTATATGTTTTTAAAAATACATAATTGTGTAAAACAATAGTCTATTATTATGCATGTAACACAGTTCATAAACTAAAAAAAATCTATTCAAAAGTGAAGAAGCTTCTCGGATGAGAGGTGAAACGTCTTCAAGCAACTTAAAGAAGTCCAGACGCTTTTCTTTGCAAGCTCCTTTGACTACGATGACCTGGATGACTGAGAACCTTCACAGACATATTCAAAAGAGAGGGTGTGAATAAAAAAAAATCGACAATTACCTGTCCGCAATTTACTAAATAATACGCAACTCTTCCCTCACGGATTATATACTTCACCTGGAACAGCTGTGGCAGGAACACCTGGCTCGGGTTACAGCAGTGAAGAAAGCCGAGGGGCTGGACTATCAGCCAAAATAACTCAACTCGGTACGCAGCTATGACTAAATGTCTGGAGCCGCCGCCACAAGAGAGCGACTCAGGCTGATCCCAACTTCAGGAAGACAAGAAGGTTTGGACGCAACGCATTCTCTTCTCTTCAGTTTAGGACAAAAGGACAGGCTCTGATTTTTTGAGGTATGAACTTTTAATTTGTTCCGTAATGCAAGTTTACCCGTCTTCATGGTCGAAAACTTTAAGTTGCGGTTTAAGATGGTGCCTGCATTACGGATTTGTGCAACGTCGGATTAGTTGTCTGTTCGCAGTTCAACTGAAGTTGTGAAAACTCTTTTTCCACAGCGTATCTCCTTTCATTTCTAGTTGATTGTGAGGTTTCTTCTATTTGAGGAAGAGCGTGTACTGTAATGAAAATCAGATGTTACCAACCGTGCCTGGCATTCCACTCTGTCCAAAACCACAAAGAAAAGCTGAAGTGCAAAAGCGAGCTGCTGGCTGGACATTGATGTGCAACCAGTAAAACAATCGTTTATTTACAGTTATGTATATATATAGTCTAATACAGCTATGTAGAAACACAATATCCAGGGTGTCTTTTCTATCAGTTTTGTGCTTTTATTCTTTTTATTTTTTGATGTGCATTATTATTGGATTGTTACTACACTGGGTCCTGGATGAAATGTATTAATTGTTGTTTTTAGTGTTAGGATAAGAAAGAAATTCATTCATAACATTTGGTGTTAGTATAACCACTGTTTCAGTCAATTTTACATCACAAATTCAAATGTGCCAATTTTTTGCTTAATTGAACTGCATGTTGGATCTATACACAACTCTAATTTACAAGCAAAGCAAACCTTCCTGTTGGAACAGGGACGAAATGGCATTTATCCAGCATGTGTGCTTTACATGGTTTCTCTATCAAAACAAGTTTGGCTGCATTTGTTGTACTTGCTGCAACCTTTTGCAAAAAATCGTTAAAACCAAGCAGAATTCAGCAATTTAAAAAAAAGAAAATTGTGGTCGAATTCATGTACATACGCATATACCAGCTGATATTTACTTCTTGGTAGTGGCCCTGCTTTGCACCACAGCTTGAGAATGTTACAAAGCAGGCATTGGATGAATGGATCTGGCAGAAATGTCATATAGCACTGAGAGATTCCTGTGTCATATGCTGTGGAGAACAGTATTATGCTAGAAGTGAAATGAATTACCACCACAGAGACACAAGGCTATGCTAAAAAACAGTTGTCCACATTATGGGACAAAAGGAAGGAAAGTTATACTCTTGTTCTGGATTAGTAATCATCACCTCAGCATGTCTCTGGTCTATCCATAGTTTATGTGCTCTTGTGTCTGCAGTGACTGGCTTTTATCCCAAGCTTGAGAAGTATAATAGTCATGTATTGTGTAAAGTCTTTGGAAGTGACAGTTGCTATCGTGAATAGAGCGTATTAGTGTGAACTCTTGTTTGTGTAATTATGTAGGTTTGGCTTTCAGTGACTAACTAAGTCTGCTGTGCAGGTGAAAGCACTGTAAAAAAACAAAACAGAGTTCTTTGGGTGGGGTTTTTCCAACTCGTTATCTCACTGTTATCCAAGTACATGCCATGTTTTAATCAGTGAGCCCTTTACGATTAGTCTAATGTCAGCATGGGGTCATAGTCAAATTTAACTAAACTTCTCATGTAACTAGGTCAGCACAACGTCATAGCGGTTTTTGAAATTAGTTTTACAAGCCTTGACATGACCTTTCACATAAACAGCTCAAGTGTTGCCAGTATCTGTTGATGCAATAATGCTGATACTAATGATAAAGCCTATCAGTGCATGAAGATCTCAGAATTCTGCAACACAGATTCCTGGTCATTCTCACAGTAATTACACAGCACCTCCCACATGTATCTGCATAATTATCCTTGGGTTTATTCTCCTTTCTCGCAATGTTTTCAAACATTCTTACTACATGAAACAGTGATGAGCCAGTGTAAACATTATGCTGGATGTTGGACTTTGGACTCTTGGTATTTAAAATCTTACTATGCAAGAGCAATTGAAATGTATGTTCATTGATGATGACTTACAGGTAATGTTTGCTTTAGGACTTTATGATAAACAAAAATGAAAAGCAGGCCACAAAGGGAAGTTGTATAAAGGGAATGCTTTATCATGCTGTTGCAAGTTTTCTGCCAGCACAAAGCCAAAGTTCTGGAGGAAGGATATGAAGGAGGGACCTACAATTGTGAAAGAGAACAGGCAGGAAATTAGTACCTAGATAGAAATATGTAGTTAGGATAAAACTAGAGAATTGGATGTGTAATCATGAACTTCTAGCGAAAGACTTAAAAGGAGTGGGAAAGGGAAAGACTGCTTGTAGTCTTGGTTAGACACACCCTAGCATTTTGCAAAGCTAATGATTATTGTCTTTAATCTCTAAATTTCCATTGTGCTTCCCATAGTTTCTCTCTGTTTTTCAGGGTGTCCTAACAGAATTTTAACATTTTGCACTGCCAGTAGTTTTGGGGACAGTAGTTTTGTCAACTGCCATTTTATATTTTATTCCTGTGGCTTTTATGTTGGCTTCACCACTTGAAAGAGCTAATTGTTGCTGTATTGTACTACATTCTAGTCTAAGCACTGGCAAGAAAATCAAAATGTGGTTTTCCAAGAAACTAACCATGACACAAAACCAGAAATAGACGCAGCTGCAGTAGCCACAAGCTGTCAGTTCACTTTAAACGTCTAGATGATTGATGTTTTTTCGCTTCCATATTTGCATATGCTTCTATCTTTATTTACTGTAGCACATCTATTAAAATGTGGAACAATTGCCTCAAGAGATACTATATGTGATAACTGAAAGGATATTGGCTGTTCCAACAAACAAAGTTATTGACTATATATCTCTGTCTTCACTTCTAAAAACATTTTTTTCTTTACACAGAGTTGTCTAGATTTTTTATTATTTTTTTTAGATTCATACACTTGCATAAGATAAAAGTGTTAAGTAAACAAATGAAACCTATTGTGATTAAAAAGAAACAAACAAGGAGAAATAAATGAAAGAGATTATCTCAAAACAAACACTAAAATAGCACAAAAACAAAGGCAAATCCAGAATCTAAATGTTATTATGATAGGTATGTCATGGAAGATGATAGAACACAAAATAAAGGTGAAGTGAAAGGAGAGAAATAATTCAATATTGTCATTATATTAACTGCAGTAATGTGCTTTATTAGTTTGCAATAAACTAAGTTATAAGAAAAGTTAACGTCGTAAACACACCCAAAAGAGTAATTAAAATCAGCGGTCCCCAACCTTTTTTGCGCCACAGACCTGTTTATGCCCGACAATATTTTCACGGACCGGCCTTTAAGGTGTCGCGGATAAATACAACAAAATAAAACTAGTACCGGTACTGAAAAAAAGAAGATTTATTCATAACACACGTGAAAAGACCCAGGAAAACCGAGTTAACGATAAAAACGATAACAAAATGACGCTGAAAACCGATAAAATCCCTGAAAACCACCAAACAACTCACGGACCAATACCGGTCCGAGGCCCGGGGGTTGGGGACCGCTGATTTAAATCATTTTAAAGCACTGTTTAAAAAAACTGCTTATCTTTGCTTGTTTTCACTTCTAGTTGAGCAGCGTAGCCTGGCTTTCTATGCAAATACAGTCTTGTTTACTTTGTCTTACTTGATCATTTTCAGTCTATATTTGTTGTTGATTTAGTGATGGATTTGTCCAGTGTATATTTTCTGTAACCTTGTACAGCACTTAGGTCAGCAAAGGTTGTTCTATGTGGGCTAGAAAAATAAACTTGAACTTGACTTGACTTCTTACATGCATCTACAAATAAATTACGTAACATCTAATTATGATTCCGTTCTAGTTTTAGTGAAGTTAAAGTGTTCCGGCAACACAAAGCCAAAATTGTCGGAATCAAGAGAAAATAGCAAAGGTGCCAAACGGCATGCAGAGTTTCACAGGAAGAAAAAGGGTGGGGTGAATAAAATCCTGGGCAGTAAAGAGAGAGTTCAGTGAATGAGTGATCAGCCTGACCTTTGTGAGTCACCAAGAGTGCAATCTCTTTTTGTGTGAGCTGCTGTTGACAGTGGTGAGCGTTCAAGTGTGCTAATGTGTGAGAATGTCTCACTGGGAGGAGTAAGGAATGTGAGCCTGCACCCAGGCCTGACTGAGATGTGACAAGTTCTTGCTACAAAGCATGACAAATAGTATGAATAACACTTATCTGATTCTGCTGTAAATTTAGTATTGGTTACTTCATATAACCCTTGTTTGCTCTGGCCAGGGCTAATTTTTAGTTGGTATTCTAATTAATCAGAATTATGTAGAGCAGGGTGTGCATAACCAATGCTGGTTGAGATTGGTCCAGACAAGGTTTCTTTATGTACAAACACAACAATATTAAACAACCGGGGACTACGAAGCTCAATCTCTCATCTCTCTTCATGACTAAATGGTAAATGGCCTGTATTTATATAGCGCTTTACTAGTCCCTAAGGACCCCAAAGCGCTTTACATATCCAGTCATCCACCCATTCACACACACATTCACACACTGGTGATGGCAAGCTACATTGTAGCCACAGCCACCCTGGGGCGCACTGACAGAGGCGAGTTGAAGGCTAGTTGAAGTGGCTTGGCTCCTTTAAACCACTAAAAGTGAATCAAGGAACATTTCCAAAAATGTTTTATATTTTTTCCTACACATTATGCGTATTAAATTCATTTTCATCGTCATGTACATGTGTAATCTGTGTCTAGTCTAACACAATAAAAATCAAAGTATCAGGAAACAGCATCTGAGTGAAAGTGAGGAGGTTCAATAAATCTGTCCTCTGTCACAACCTTTTCCCCCCATTATGCCTAAACTAGGGATGTCGCAATAAACTGAATATAGGACGGTAAGGACAGGTAAAACTGGGTGGTTTGCAGTATAGTGTTAAAGTCTACAGTACTGTTGCACTGCCTGCAGGGCAAACTGGGTTCCATGGTCATAACTCTTGTAGGTCCTGGATAGCAGGAGAGACTTTTGCAACAGCAAAGATGTTGGTAGAAGTCTACTGAGCATTGAAATAAAAGCTGATTTTTATAATACTTCAAAAATAAATGTCCAAATGTCTTGATGTTCTTTGGTAGGCTGCTGACTGACAGGACTTGCTTCTTGAAGCTGTCACTAATTTGGCACCTTACTACTGTAAACTAGTTTGAACAATGTTCTTTAGTAACATCCAATTTCACCGTCATTCTAGCTTTATACTAGCTATGGATTGGAAAGCAGCCATTGCGGCTCATGTAACATCTACTTGCCTACTGCAGAATGTAGTTGGCTAGCTATACAAAGAACCGTAAACCACAAAGGAAATCTGCTCGAACTCACAATATAAATTATTAGATAAGGGTGATAAGTTAAGCTTTCAACATGACAGCTTTTTGTAGAGCATCCAAATGTATACACAAAAAAGCCTTTGCAAAGGCTTCTATGCAAAGTGGTTATTACTGCGCAGCTCATTGTTCGTATTTTTTTATTGGCTTAAACTCATTAACAGAATAGCCCAGCTTGCATCGGCGTCTCTCTGGTTGTTAGTATTACTATAATTTGTCACACACTTGAAGCTGTGCTGCACCTGTCTGTCTGGCCTGTCTGTCTGAAACTGAAACTCCAACATAAGTCATAAGTGATGTTAAGCTTGAGCACCTGGTATCTCAGATAACTTGGTTGAGTCAGTAGGTATGATGAACACCTGCAACCAGCACTTAAAAGGGCGCTCAAATGTCTATAAAGTCATTATAAATGTTTGCAATTGTGCACTATGTCATATTTCTGTTTTTGAACTTTCAGTAATCAGGAAATTGTGACTTGTTTAGACATGACAGGCATTCGGCTTATTTGGAAATTGCCTGAAGGCAATTTCAGCTTGGAGCTGAAAGGGAAGAGCTAAGCAAAGTAAATCTTGCATGAAACCTAACTTTCAAGGTTGATTTAAAGTGAATTAGGGTTCGAGGAAGTCTGTGTGTAGTTCAGTATTAGGAGAAACATTTCCTGTAAAATGTTAATTCTTCTAAAAAGATGATAAAAAGCTTGTGAGCTAATGGAAGTGTTTTGTTTTTTGGATTTTTTTTTCTGTCCTAACAGGTGGCGTTTGTTTTCAGGAGCAAGTTATTGCTATCTGATGAGTCATGAGTTCTCAAACAAGCTTTGGGAGCAGCATGCTGTGTGAGTTTCCACTAATGTTTAACTTTTCCTCTTGGCTCTGTGTATATTTGTACATGTGGGAATAATATCCTCTGCTAATTGAGTTTTGTACATTTGCGGTTTATATTCAGTCCAGACCATGAATGATGATCTGAGCGCATCACTCGCTACAGCAGACGAGTTATCCAAAGAGTTTAACTCCTTGCTGCAGGAGGCCTCCACCAGCAATAACAACACAGAGTCTAAGTCACAGGTACTCACTCAAACACACACACATGTAGTACTAGTTTCCCTCTTTTAGCTGTTAATTTGCACTAGTTTATAATAGTTACATTTTGTAGTCCTTCAAAGTGTCCAACATGGGTGGAAATATCAAGGCAGTGGTTGATTTATTTGTTTTTTCCTTTCCTCTGTTTCTAAATTAAATTTGCCAGTGAGGGGGTTTCCTTGTCCTGATTTTTTTTGTAAATGTGTGAACACAGACCAAAATAAAAAACTTTCATTCAAATTCACTTGCACTCTTTCAAACACACCCTTGTACAGATGTAGTTGAATGCCAACAAAAACATGTTGACGTGTTTGTGTTTAAAACAAAACAAAACGCAGTGATATCCATATCTCTTTTTTCTGTAGGCCACCTCCAGTATCTCCAGAGAGCAGCCTCAGTCCAGTTGGTCTTCCAGCACTTCCACTACTAAACAGGCATCCGGTGGCAGCAGTAATGGATCCCCCAGCTCTTCAGCTTACTCCACAAGCTCAGCATCCTTCCGTCCCATTGACTCTGTCAGTTCTAACAATAATAATACCAGATCCTCCCCCGTATTCCCACCAAGCCCACTATCATCCCCAAAGCTCCAAAGAAGTGCACATGCTCCAGTCCGAGCTGGATCTGACATCGTCCACCATAGTTACAGCCATTCAGCTCAAAACACGAAGTATAATTCTTTGCCTCATTATGACAAGAGCCCACGAAGCTCAGTTAGCTCCACTGATAGAAGCCCTGCTCCAAACTCAAAGGCTGTTACTTTGGAACCATCAGCTTCAGCCCATTCCAATTTGCTCAGACCTTATGACAGCAGCCAGATGCGTCCAAGGTCGCCTCGATTCGACAGAAGCCCTTCTCCATTGTCTGTCAATTATCCAATGTCCAGCACGCTTCCCAGAAATTTTAGCAGTTCCAGGCAACAAGGTAAAGTTTTCATTTTCAGGACATTTAAACTTAATTATCATGAAATTCATTTTACTTTATTACCTTTGTAGTAATTTTAATACATTTTATTAAGAAACTAGGTGAGCAACTACCCAACAAGTCAAATTAAATTACCTCAACATATCTGGATATAAGTCAGGATTTGAGATGTAACAATCCAAATATTGTCTGATTAAATAAAGGGGTGTGATGGGTAGAGATGTTATTAAAGTGTGGCTGAAAAAGTGCTTCTTAGTCAACAAGATAAAAAAAAAAAATAGATAGATAAATAGATAAAAAACAGACTCACTTTCTGAACATGAAAGCAAATCTAAAAGTAGACGTGTCACAGTGTTCTTTCAGTTATAAAAAACAAACGCATGAAAATGTTATAAAAAATAATACTGGTCCGTAAGCTTATTAACTTTCTAGCACACTTGCTCTATTTTTGTTTTTCCTTTGCTCATATTTTTGTTGCTTTATCTCCCACAATATCAGACGAGGCTGTGCAATGGCAGAAGAGTCCTGGCAAGTGGAATGAGACAGATCTGGACATGTCTTATGAAAGGAAGCCTCATCACACTTATGACAGTTAGTGGTTTTATGACCATTTAAAGTGAATTTCTGGAATGAGTCTCTGCAAGTAATCTAAGCAAGTTTTTGTTGTTGTTGTTCTTTTTGTTTTTTAACCGTGCTGTTGCAGAGACAGAGTGGCTGCGGTCAACTATGCCAAATCCAAATTGGAAAGAATCCAACCTCGATGGCCCTTCTCCAGCTCCAAGCCCCATAAAAGTAAATAGTAATACAAGATGAAACTTGTTTGTATGGCTTTTGTGTATCTCAACGCTTTAATTCCAATGAATCTGCTTCCAGACTGCAGTTCATGAGAAACTTCAGATATGTAAATTACTCTATTTCCTTGTTTTTTCATAGATAAGAAAAAGTTGATCGCAACATTAGTGAACAGGATGCACCTTTCCTAAAAATCTTGATCTCAATTCAGAGCATGTTTTTTGTAATACTGCATTTTTTGTCTTCTGTGGGACAGAAAAATGTCCAGTTTAATGAAAAAGAACACGAAAACCCCCCAAATTACTTCCTCCATTGAAATAAAAGGAAAAAAAGTGTCCCTTTTTTGTTTCTTCTGTTACAGGATCGTCTCTCTAATACTCTTCAGTTTTCCAGTGGATCCCTCCCCCGTAATGCACGTATTGCAGTACCACCATCTCAGTCTCACTCCCCTTACCAGTCTCAGCCCATCTCCCGTATTTCTATTCCTCCCAATTCAACTCAGTCCCGCCAGCATAAACCCATTCCTCTTTCTGTCATCATGCGCCTTCAAAATCCTTATTGGGGAGCAATGATAGCCCCCCAACCCAGAGTGGTTGGAGGACAAAGTGACATGTCACCTTACCAACCTGCTGTACCCGTCCCAAAGGAATTCTTCCAGCCTCCTACAGTTCAGCCACAACTGAAGCCACCTGAGCTGTGGCAGCCAGCTCTATACAGTGACGGTAAAACACATTTTACATTAGCAAACACTTCCTCACTATGGTTTATGAATCTCTGTCTTATAAATGGTGATTTTTATCCATGATTGTAGTGCTGAACCCAGCGGATATAGATGCAGAGTTAGAGCGGTTGGTATCTGCTCAGCAGAACCCTGTAAATTTGGAAAATCCTGCCATATCAGAGGGTAGTGTGGAGACCGAGGGCACCAATCAGCAACCTCCTCGGCCCCTAAGCCCCACCACGCTGCAACCAGTGGTGGCGCCTGATGCCCAGAGCCATGTGACCCCTGTCATCGAGGAAGTCCTGCGCATCAGGGCAGAAATTCCCAGAGCCCTGAAGAGGAGGGGCTCTGTGAACCTTTCAAAGCCCCTGAAGAAGCCCTCGCATTACCAACCAAACCAGTACAAACATCTTATCAACAAGCTCTTTCGCAAGGAATACCATAACAAGGCGGACAAAGGTAGTGAGAGTAGCAGCTCATCAGATGGGGAGGACAGTGCTTTACCCCCTCCCCCTCCACCTAAGACACCCACTCTCATTAAAAATGACAAAGTAAGTATTTAACAACAATAACAATTATAACAATAGCGTCTAATGTTTTAAAAGGTGGAATGCAATCTTCTGCAGCCAAGTGTTTGGCTTTATACAAACTGATATTCTGTTTTTTGTGCAGAATTACCGTTCAATTTTGCGCCTGCCTAATCGAAAGCGCAAAAATTCTGGCAGGCGGGCTCGGCTTAGCCCGCTGGTGCTTGTACTTGATGGAGCTTTAGCTGGAGACCTGGACACAGTGCAGAAAGCTGTCCAGGAGGTATGTATACTAGCTCTATCTCTCTATCTCTATTGCTAGCTTAATTATGTTAAGAATTTAAAGAGAACTTCACTTAGCAAAGTCCAGACATAAACTGTGCAGGCAGCAAGGTTTGGATGTATTTCAAGAAAATAGCATGATCTCCGAGGGCTGCCCATAATAGTTATATTATTTTTCTTCCACTTCTTTAGCTTACATCAGCAGCCTAAATACAGTTTATTGGACTGCAACAGTGAAGTGACAGACTTCCTGCTCCAGTGCCGAAAAAATGTTTAATGTTTAACTTTAGTTTTCTGAAGGAACACATGCTGAGTATGCGTTCTGTTTTTCAGCTCATCTCTGAGTCTTCCAGTCAGCACAATAGCTTCAACTCCTATTTTAGAAAGAAATGCTGACAGTCATGCTAAACGAATGTCAGAGTGGATAAACTGGTTACAACAGATGCAAATCTTATTTGTTTTATGTCTGCAATTTGTTTAAATGGTGGGTGGAAATGAATCACATTTAATCTGACAAATCTACTGTGTGTAAAATGCTTTTCCAAGATGAGTGATCCCAGCCAACCAAATGAAGAAGGCATCACTGCCCTTCATAATGCCGTCTGCTTTAGGCATCACGATATCGTGGACTTCCTGGTTCGGATTGGAGTTAATGTCAGTGCACCTGACAGCCATGGCTGGTAAATATTTGTTTACTGTTGTATACATCCTCTTTCTCTTATTTCCTCTTATATTTGCCTCCTGTAAAAGCCTTTGTGTAACTAGTTCATATAACTTATTTCAGAACACAACATTACTCCTTGTTTGCACAGCCATGTGGACAAAAGGTACAGCCTATTTCAGTTCAAAAGATTTACATATCAAGCCATAAAATTGGTCTTACATTTGGATAGATGAACATTACATGGCATAGTGTTATTATTATTTTTTAACCAAAACTCAACCAAAATGCAGAAGGAAAAATTAAATACAGCCTTAATATTTCCATAGGGCTTAAGAGGGTAAGTAGCACACAGGAGCTGCTGATCAAATACACTTGATTAACTGATCATCAATAAGTGTGACCACCTCTATAAAAGCAGAGGTTTTGGCAGTTTGCAGGTCTGGTGCATTCAGGTGCATGCAAGCCCACTCCCCTTACCAGAGTGTGCACCAATGATCTCAGAGAAGCAATTATTGTTTCCTACTGTTCTGGAAAGGGTTATGAAGCTATTTCCAAACAAGATGAAATCCATCATTCTACTAAGAGAAAGATTATTCGCAAAAGGAAAACATTGAAGACAGCTGCCAGTAAATGTTCCAGTACATTCAACCCAACGTCAATGTTAAGACAAATTAAAATTGAGATATAAAAAAAAGCACCATTCAAAATACACCAGTCCTCAGCCTGTTAAAGGTTACATTTCATTCCTCAGCATGTTAAATGTTACAGTTCATGGCAGTACAATTGGACAAAGACTGAACAAGTATGATTGTTTTGAAGGGTTGCCAGGAGAAAGCCTGTTCTCTCTAAAAATAACATGGCAGCATGGCTTAGGTTTGAAAACCTGCATCTGAACAAATCACAAGGCCTCTGGAACAAAGGTTCTCATTTAGTAAGAATGCCTGCACACAAATTCATTCAAACATATCATGCCAAATCAGTCTTTTATACCAAATTGGTTCATAATTTATGAACACAGTTAGAACAAAGTGATGAAGGCCTAACTTTGGAAAGCTTTTTCAACTTTTCTGGCTTTCTCTTTGGGTGCAATTGTTTCCATTTTCAGTTGGCCCTGCTTTCTTGCCATAGATGCATAGACTTCTGTCTTACAACATCGACCACTTTTCTCATGTTTAATAAATTCCATATTAATTTTGTGTATACACATAACTTTTGCACGAAAGAAATGTATACTTGAACATTTCCATGCACATATTAGTAAACAGCTCTCTAAAGAATATCTTTAATATCTAAAGAATGTCTTTTTGGGCAGACATGCCCGAAGTGGAGATGCACTACCTCACATTTGGTGAAAACCAAACACAAACACCTCATGTCAAACACAGTGATGGAGGGGTAATGTCTGGACTGATTTTGCAGCTACAGGACCAGTGCAACATGTAGTTTTTGAGTATACTGTAAACTTCCTTATATACAAAAGTATTCTAGAATCAGATGTGAAGTCTTTTTGATTAAACTTGGTCATCCGTCCTACAGGGCAAAGATTCTAAGCATACTGGTAAATCGACAACAGACTGGTTGAAAAAGAAAAGAATTAGCCTCACTGAAATGCTGTGGTGGAACCGTAAGTGAACTGTGCATAAATGAATGCCTGCAAAGCTCAATGAACTCAAGCAACGTTGCTAAAAAAAAAGTGGGCCATAGTTCGACCATAATGACACGAGAGTCTGATAAAGTCATACAGAAAACGTTAACATGTAGTGTGCTTAACTTTTCTTTTTTTGCATTTTGGTTTTGTAAATATTTCCCTTTGGCTGTGCTGACAAGGATAAAGGTTTTTCAGTCTAAGTTATCATTTGATGAAGTTGATCTGAAGGAGTTGCAAAGGAATAGATGTTTTATTTTTTAATATAATGTTATATCCTGGTATCCAAAGCCCTGGAACTGGAAGACGGTGTACGGATATATCTATATCTATAAATACAACATAATTAAAGCTCTTTATGTGGCCCACAGGACTCCTCTTCATTGTGCAGCCTCTTGTAATGACCGTCCTCTTTGTGAGTTTTTGGTGAGGAGTGGGGCTGCCGTCATGGCCGTTACAGAAAGAGACAGAGCTACTGCTTCCCAGAAGTGTGACCCTTATGCTCCTGGATATGAGGAGTGTGAAACCTTCCTGAGGGGTGAGACAACAACTCCCACACGTAAACTGTACTATGAACTGTTTAATTAGTCAAATAGTACTTATAACGTATCATATGATATTTTCTACTGATGTAATCTGCTCCATGTTTAACCTCAGTGTCAATTGTTTTGTTAAATAGCATTCAGCCATTCACAGACATGTACAGAATATGTATATATATTGCATGTTGTAATATAAATAATAGTAAGAAAAATAATAATCATAATTAAATAGTTTTGTTCAAAATCTACTCCCAAAGAAATGTTAGGAGGATTACAAGTTTTCTTTCTTTCTTTCTTTTTTAAAAAATTATTTTAAGAATACAACGTAGGAACACTTTAAGGTGGCGTTTTAAAATAAAGCTATAGTGAACTATAATTTATGAAATTATGAAATCAAAAGCAAATATAGTGACCTCTAGCCTCTCAATGAACACTATTCCAAACTACTGCTTTCTGGTACAGCAGTCTTTATATTTATATGTATCCTGTTTTCTTTCTTCAGCTGCGGAGGAGGCCATGGGGGTGGACAACAGCGGAGTGCTTTATGCTCTGTGGAGCTACCCAGCTCAGGCAGCAGATGAACTGAGCTTTAAAGACGGAGACATGGTCACCATCCTCCAGAAACCTGAGGGGTCAGACTGGTGGTGGGCCTCACTGTGTGGCAGGGAAGGCTTTGTTCCAAACAACTACTTTGGGGTAAGACACCACTTTCTAAATAAAGAAAACATCAATTCAGTCCTTTTCTCCTGATTTCATGATTTTCATTTTGCAACAAAACATGACTTTTAATTGTTTTCATGTTTGTTTTTTCTTTTTCTAGCTTTTCCCGAAGGTTCGGCCGAAATCTCTGTGTTAAGTAGCATCCTGATTATCAGGTCTGGTCAAACTGATGCAGGGAATATTCTCAGATGCTTTATAGCTTCAGACTTTTAGTTGAACATACTGTGTCTGTACGGCCATAAAAAGACTGCAGACCTAAAAGATTTTTTGTGATCTGTCAGGGAAGGAGAGGCAAAGGTGAAGTCTCTATACTCCTTTTGGCTGTACTGACAAGGATAAATCTTTTTACGTTTGTACCGGCTTGGCTGTAGAATAATTATCTATGTTACAACTCTATGACAGATAGTCAAGTTTTGTTGTCTATCCAAATGTTACAAAGGGGTGAAGGTCCATGTTGTTCGGATAACTTCAGTCAGGGGTTCACCATACAATGAGTAAAAAGTTGGTATGGTTACTAATCAGAATGCAAACACTGGCTTTTGATGTTCATTCAACTTATCAGCAAAGTCATGGCAGGTGTGTGAAATCTTGTGACTGCTCAGTTTAGAAATGCTTTGCTTCAATCAAAGTAAAATCCAAGTTTCCATTCCTGGAAAAGTTTGCAGAAAGGAAGCACCACAGTAAAAGAGAGCAGTTAGCAGGGAATGTTTTACTTTACATAATATTTCAGAAATGTACTCAGATATCACAGCCTTTGCAAATAGTTTCTCAGATATTAGTACTAGTATTTAACTGTAACTTTTTCTGGCTACAGTGGCTGTTAAATCCTAATAACAACAATATTCTCGAAATATGTGTGATTTTTTTTGAATGTCAGGAGTTGTGTTCTCCTATCAGTACGGCGGTAGTAGGTTTACCATAGTATTTTCAACCTCAGTATTTTCTTTTTGCCTTCAGGTTTGTGTTGTATGTTTATGCTCACTAAATAAGTGTGTCTTTTTTGAAAGTGTTTTCTGGGTGGATGTGTTTGTGTGTGTACTCACAGTGGTGTAGTGCATGTGGTGACAAAAACTGGTTTTATTATATATTTTTTTTGTTTCACTTGTTACTAGGGCCCTCTGTGCATCTAACCTTTAGGCTTCTACGGAGCACATAGTGATCAAATTTTTGAATACTGAATAAAAAGATGAAAATCGTGTTTTTGTTTTTGCCTTTTCTTTAAAATGTGCTGTATTTGGAGTTTTGTTACTTGGAAATACCATTTTGAAATGTCCCTTACTGACCAACAGATGGCATTGTATTATTAAGTATTTCAACAGCTGCATGTTTTGCAAGCAAAAACTGTATATAGTAATATATGACAAAGCACCATTCAAGGCTGGTCTGCAGCATTATCCCACACTGTAAATTATACATGGAAAAACATCTGCTAATTTCTTTTATTTCTTCTTATTTGAAGTTCATTCATTTCCCTGATCTTTTTCAGTCTTTTTGCTTTTACACCACAGAGCACCCACAGGACTGCTGTGATATTTAATGAATCAGTTAACTGTATTCTGATGAATAAGTGTAATTACCGAAAAAGCTACACGCATGATGAACAGGTTTTTTTTTAAAATTAACTCTGATTTGCATCTTTTGATCTACAGACTATCTGCACTGATATTAACACCAACGCTTGTATTCTTCAACACAATCCCTGAGGACAATTACTGCCAACACTGATTGAAGCTGACTGCTGTTTTCTTTAAATGTTTCATGTTATGCAGATTATACAAACATGATAATAATGACATACAGTTAGTGGATATACAGCATCACTGTTAACTCTCTCACACACACACACAGCTGTGATGAACTAATGCTGTGTGTCTGGTGAATAATTCAGGTGATTTAAGTGAACTGAAATGTCCAGTGGCCTGTGGCAGAATACATAATGTTTCACTGAAATAGATCTTCAACTCAGCTAGAAGGCCATGGTATAGAGCAGGAACACACGATGCAGTGAAAAATCATTTCGTCTTAAATTAAAAAACAAGAAGCTGTTTAAGTCAGCAACTCAATGAGGTAAGATGTTGTTGTAAGCTGTTTCACTCTTTTGGTTTCTAGAAAGATAAAATTGCAGCAAGCTGATGAGCAAGGTGAGCCATTTCATCAGTTTTCATAATCGCGGTTTTGTTTTGTTCTTTACATTTAAAATTGATACTGCTATTTTATAAATAATGAGTTCTTGTCACATAAACTAATAGTCCCCATCATTGTTAAACCCAGCACAGTTCAGTGTAGTAATTATAATCTGAAAGTTTGAACCTAATGGTTAAACACTGCCTTCCTCTGCAGCCAATTCTTTGGTTTACAAATCACATTTTCTGCAGTAATTTCTGTTTCTGAAAAGTCTAAAAAACCCTTTTTTTCTTTTGCATATAATCACAAGTCTTCAGTCAAACCCATATCTCTTTGCAAGACCTGCACTGGTAAAAGAACTGCATCTGACGTTGTGAAGACTTCTTTGCAGAACAGTAATTCTCTTCAAGCAGAACTCATTTGCTGCCTCATTTAAACCCCATTATAACCACGATGGACCAAAATGAACTGTTAGTGCCGTGGCCTGCTGTCGGAGGAGTGTGGCACACCTGCACACACACATATAATGGTTTCAGACAAGCTGGCTTTCTCAGAGAGCATATTTCCCAATCGGTGTCTGGCAACACTACTTGACATAGCAGGCTGGCCCTTTACTGCTGCAGACATATAAGAACGTAATCACACAGAGAGAAAGTGAGCTTTACTGTCACAAAGTGAAGTAGAAAGCTGAAGGAAATCTACTAAAAATAGGGACAATAAATGTTAGAACTGGATGAAAAAATTAAATGAAGAGACATAAAAGGTGTAAAACGACACAGCAGGCAGTTTTCTGTTTGCGGAGAAATGTAGCGATTATCTATAAACCAACTAGCCATGAAAAATGTGATTCATACCCTGAGTGATTGAGAGTATGTTGAGTCAACAGATATAATCTAAAATCTGTTCCGATAATGTCCAAAAGAGAAAAAATATATAGAATAAATCACTTTTACTTGCGAAAAAAGTATAAAATCATTTATAAGAACACACATACCCACAAACACACAGTTTTCAACCAGAGCAACCAGTTGACCCAAAGGGCATCAATATTATATGTTTTTACCTTTGAGGTATTAATCAGATGCCCTTCTTTGTTAGTCTTTTGGGTGACTTAGGGCAGGAAAGCATCTTCAGCGTGAACTTGGGGAACGCTTTGCTTCATTATTTAAGAACAACAAACGAGTATACATTTGCTTTTCTAGCACTACAGTGCAGCAACAAATATGCATATCTGTTTTTCAGCTATCAGAACTGTACTGACGTCTTCTCGTATTCTGTGAAAATTATGTGTGACAGCCAGCCAACTGCCTTCAAGGGACATCATGTTAGTGTCTGTTGGCATGTGGACTTGTTTGCATGCATGCACGCACATGTGCCTGTATTTCTGCATTCTTTCTCAATCAGACACTGAGGTGAGCAGACAGATCCATGCAAATATGTCCACTCCGCCTTTTTCTTTCATTCTTTCCCTACCACATCCATTCTTCCTGTGTTCCCACTCTGTGCTCCTGTGGAGTAATGAATAATAGAGGAGTGCTTGTCCTCCCTTGCTCCCCTAGTTAATCAGAGCTCGCCTGGCTGCCCTCTTCTCTGCCACTCCTCACTTTAATAAATCATTCAGGCCTTCAGGACGACAAGTACGTCAGAGGAGGCTATAAGCAAGGGTTGCAGTGGTAAAAACCCTCTCTTACAACAACCTATATCTCCTTTGCTCCAAACCAGGAACAACCCTCTCTCACTATCGTCTCTCTTACCTATGTGTGTCCTTTATTTTTTCAGTCACCCCATCCATTCTTTCACATTTTTTTTAAATTTTTTTATTTACAAGACAAGCAAGTCCTCTTTTCACTTTCTCTCTCCCACGGGGAAGCATTTCACTTCAGCTCTCACTCCAGCGAGGTCCAACCTAACACATATTGTTCTCATTCCTCATCTCTTTCCTCCCCCTTCTTCCTCCGTTCCCTTTGTCTGCCCTCACTGCCTGAGCAGAAATTCCCTACTGGCATGACGTCACATAAATATGAAGTGGTAATGCTGCATAAAGGGTCATAAATGGAATGGATAAAAAACAACAAGACAATCATGAATTGCAGGATGTGCAGTGAAAGTGTAATATCCCTTTTCATATTAAATATCCAATCATATGATACAGTTGAGAAAACCTAATTTGGGAAGGTGCCTGTTGAACTCCATTATAGGAAGAAGTTGAGTTAGTGAATATTTTCAGCCGCATTAGATCCTCAGATGTATTTTGATAAAAGAGTTGTTGGGACCCTTTATCAAAAAGATGGAAGGAAGGTGATGATCAGCTAGCAGAAGTGTGACTTAATGCTGAGAAAGAGCATTACAGATCTGATGTCTGCTTTGAGAGTGTTGATGGAGAAGTATAGAGAAGGTCACAGTTGCACTGTGTCTTTATGGATCTAGAGAAAACATATAATAGGGTGCCAAGAGAGGAACCGTGGTTCTGTATGAGGGAGTGAGGAGTGGCAGAGAAGTAACTGAGGGTGATACAGAACATGTATGAGGGCAGCAAGACAGTGGTGGGGTGTGTACAAGTAACATATGGGTTCAAAGTGGGAGTGGAATTACATCAGGGATCAGCTCTGAGACCCTTGCTGGTTGCAGTGGTGATGAGCAGACTGACAGGTGAGGTCAGTCAGAGAGGTAAGGCTGTGAGTGTTTGGACATGTGTAGAGGAGGGATAGTAGATTAACTGGATAGAGGATGTTGAAGATGGAGCTGCTAGGGAATAGAAAAAAAAGACAGAATGCAGAGAAAATTCATGGATGTAATGAAAGAAGACATGCAGAAGGTAGATGTGACAGAGGAGAATGCTGGGGATAGGATGAGATGGAGGCAGATGATTTTCTGTGGCCTCCCTAAGGAGACAAGCAAGAAGAAGAGGAGTCAGGATAACATCACCAACTAGCCTGGAGCACACTCAGATTACATCCATTAATCCACTGGGATTGAGTCTGCTATGAATACAACAAATAAAACTAAGATGCTGCGTCAGTCAAGCAGTTGATTCAGTGCATAAACTAATTTCTACTGAAACCTTAAGGCCTCTCCACTGCTCACCACCTTTCTGCAATGTATAGATGGAAATATATTAAAAACAAAACTGGAAAAGAAGTGGAAAGGTTGACTGTTATCGCTGTAAATAACACTACTGATGAGTTAATTTTGTTAGCCTGGTGCTTTGACAAGAAGCTGCACTCAGGTGTTGGATCTGGTGCTCATTAACGGCCTTCAAGAACAAATGCCAGAATGGATTGGTGAGGGGAAAAACATAAAATTCCACAAAAGCTTCTGTTTGCCCCTTATATTTATCATTGTTCTGTCATTTTATATTTCTCAATTTTCCTCTTCCATCAGGATACACACAGAGCTTCTAGGTATCATGACTTTATGTGAACAATCTTTGCTTCTAACCCTGTCTCTTCTGGGTGTTCTCAGCCTCTTTTAGTCCTTTACAGACAGACTGTCTGAGCAACAATTATTCTTAATCTGACTCCATTAACCAAACACCCCCCATTCCCATCACTTCCTCGGCAGGAGGATATTAATCACCTTAATTGCCAGAAGACCTCAGACCTGAGGCTCCTGTCCAATCCCCCATCTTTCATCTTGTCTGTTTGGATGTTTCTGTCTTTGTCTGCTTTTATCTTTATTTGCTCTTCCTCTGTATTAACCCCACACCCACCACAACACACACACACACACACACACACACACACACACACACACACACACACACACACACACACACACACAC